CCTCTACTTCTTCCTCTTCTACCTCACTCACTCCCCTCTAATCACTCTCACTAATCATACACCTCTCCCCACCTTTCTCAACTTTCTCCTTCTCTCCTTCTCATTTCACTCCTCAACCCCTTCTCCTCCCCCCCACCTTCCACTGCCTCTTTCCCCTCCTCTTTCAACTTTCCCCACCCCACCTTTTCTTCCACCACTCTTCCTCTCCCAACTCCGGTCACCCACATACTTTATCACTTTCTTCCCTTTCTCTACGTTACTTCTTCTCTACTTCTCTTCTCTCTCCCCATCTCTTATTTCCCTTCCCTCTCCATCTTCTCCTCTCCCACCATCCATGATTTTACTCTATTTTATTAATTTATTTTCTTTTCCTTTCATCCTCTTTTCTCTTTGCTTCTTGATCTCTCTCCACCATCCCCTTTCCTTCTTTCCCCCTTGCTCTTCGTTGGCGTAGTTAGTTCATTTCTTGCTCTCTTTCAGATGCTATCTCTTTCCTTGCTTATCTTGATGTACGTAGTATTCTCCTCTCGTTTTCTCGGTGATGCACTCTTGCTCCTCTACTGTGGCATACTGCGTAGCCACACGGGCCTGCAGAGCCCGTCCCGCATTTCCAGCCTATAAGCCTAGAAATAAGGGCTTACAGGCCCCTGTCGTTTCAGCCTGAAAGACTGAAAAATGAGGGCCTGCAGGCCCTATGTCGTTTCAGCCTAAAACAGGGCTTTTCAGCCCTGAGGCTTTTCAGCTTGAAACGGAGGGCCACTTTCGGGTCCTCATAAGATCGACCTACCCTAAGACTCAGGCACAAAAACAGGGTTTCGGGAACAGGCTATTTCTGGCCTGTTCCCCACGACAGCCTCAAGCAGGAGCTGCAGCGGCAGCCCCTGACTCCCTTCGGCATTGGCAAGAGCAGCCTCCTGGACTGCCTCACCCTGCTGTCAGGAGGCACCTGAGTAGTACATAGGAAGTTCCCATGCACTTCACAGGGAGGTAGTTGGACAGTAGGCACGAGTAGTCTTCAGGATTCGGCCGCAGCACTCAGGAGGAGCGCTGCCAGGAGTAGCTTAGAGCTAGCAGTAGTCTTCAGCGCTGGGTGCTAGTAGCCATAGCAGTAGTCTTCAGCGTTGGGCGCTAGTAGGTGGTAGTAGTAGTGTGGGAGAGAGATGGCTGGCGGAGGCCAGCGAGACTTACCTGTGGCGCCATAGCTCCAGCTCCATCTTCGAGGTA